ATTATAATAAAAAAATTAAATAAAATTACATAAAAAATGAGAACTTTTAAATAATTGATTTGATATTAACATTGATATTTTTTTTTTTCAAATTTGTATGATATATTCAAATTTATATTTTATTCAAAAATAAAATCATTATTGTTTTCTTAAAAACACATAAAATCGTATTATAACATCGACAAAGACAAATAATAAAATAAAACATTAAAATCGAGATGTGTCTCGCTGCATTGCACGAGTACTCTTCTAGTTATAAGTAATTAATGGATACAAAAATTTTAATTTCTTCAAAATTATATTTTGACATTATTTAAATATTAAGAACTGAGTTTTACGAAAACTATCCTATCCTTATTAAATATGAAGCCAATCATTAAATAAAACAACATAATTTTTACAATTTCTAAAAATCTAGTTTCGTAATTGATTTTTTTTTTAGAACACAAATAAAAAAAAGTTAATAATTCAACTTTTATATGTGAATAGTTAAGTAATTTATATATGAATTAAACAGGTTTATATATAAAATAATTTATATGTGAATTATACGGGTTCAAATATGTATTTGATTATTCGATATTTAACAGTAAATAGTGTAAATCTTGATCAAATAAAAAGTTACGGTCACTTCTCAAATTATATATATATATATATATATAGGCCTAATCAAAAAAGAACTAATTAGTTTGTGGTAATCATGAGGTCCAATCTCAACCATAAACCAATAGATAAATTAGAAAATTTATAATTTTGGTAATTTTGAATTAAAATTTTAATGCAAGAACATTTTAGGTATTTTCTCTCATCTCTCATCTCTTCTTTCTTCGTCCCATGTCCTCAGGTCACCTTCCTCCAGTGGTATCACAATGCATCTTATATGTGTTTGAGTATCACACTGAGGTTGTTTGTGTGGCCGATCGGAGATGTACACAGTGGTATCACAATGCATATTATATGTGTTTGGGTATTACATTATGTCTTTTGTTTAACAGAATCAATATTTTTAGGTATCACAGTGATATCACCGCAGGACGGTGGCCGGAGGACAAGAGACAGAGAAAGAAGATAAAATACCTAAAATGTTTTTGCATTAAAATTTAATTCAAAATTATAAATTTTCTTAATTTATCTATTGATTATATATATATATATATATATATAATTTTTATTTAGAGGTTTAAAAGTTGTGGAAATTTTACGGACAAATGGAGAAAGAAAACTAGTGATTGGGCATTGATTCGTGGATACACGTCGCAGCAGCCAATCATGTGCTCTGTTTTTGCACCTTGCGGGTCCTTCCACTTGTATCGATATTACACTCTTGGAGAGATGCTTTTGGCCACACATAATTTTTTCAAAGAAATTGCAACACCAAATTATTTGATTGCTAGAAAATGTAACTTAATGAATTAAGAACAAATATTCAAGATATATTTATTATAACCAGAAGAGTATTCATACAATGCAGCGAGATAAATCTCGATTTTAATGTTTACTTTTTATTCTGTCTCTATCGATATAATACGATTTTATGTGGTTTTGAGAAAACGATAACATTTTTATTTTTGAATGAAATATAAATTTGAAGATAACATAAAAGTTTGAAAAAAAATAAATCGATATTAGTATTAAATTAACTATTTCATAGATCTTGTTTTTTGGGTAAAACTTCTTTAATTCAATTTTTTTATTATAATTTAATCTAGATTTAATAACAAAGTAATTTATTTTTGGTTTAACAATATGTTAGAATTCAATGATTGTTTTAATTATATTTTAGATTTTTTATATTTAAAATGGATGTTTATCCTGTATTTGATTATATTTATCCGCATTTAGTTACACGAATTTAAAAATGAAGCTTTAATAAGTTGTACTTACGTAAAATTACTTGTAATTTTGAATTTTAAGTAATATACATCAATAAACAGTACTTTATGCATAAAAAAATTATTTTTAAGAGTTTTTTGACAAATGTTTTATAATATAATTTAGATTTTGTGAAAAAACTTGTTTGCTTAAACTATAAATAGTAGTAAAATTAGAATTTAATATATAAGATTATGTAAATTATCATTTAATAAATTAAATATAGCAGTTAAATAAATAAACAGCGATTTGATAGTTTAAAACCAACGATTGAATATGCCGAAATCAACAAAAACACTAAAAAATCACTCGAAATCAACAAAAAATCTTTAAAAATCCCTCAAAACGTTGTAATTAGATTAAAAACACATCGGACGATTTTGTGGAACTTTAATCTACCTTAAAGGTGACCTCACTGAACAAAAATTCTAGATCCGTCACTGAACATGCCGCTTCTGGTTATGTAAATGATTAGAAAGGAAAAAAAATTAACTTTATGAGAGGACAAAATTTTTTCTACATAAATGTGAAATTATCTTTAATCTTTAACAAATTCAGGGTCTGTTTAGTAGTGGGTTAATAATATAGAAACTAGTTAATTCAGTAAGTTTCTTGAGGGAAACTTTATGTAGAAAGTCAAGTTTTTTTCAAACATATATTTCCCAATTAAAAAGCATGTTTATTTTCATCTATAAAAAACCTATTCAAACAAAAATCTTCTTAATTTATATAGACGGATTAATCCACGCATATAACTTTATTCAGACATGACTTAATAGAAAACCAACAAAACAACCCCTTGGTTTAACAAAAAAAGAACAACAAAGGTTTTATATCCAGATATCCACTTCATAAAAATATGTTAATTTAGATCACATATTATTGATAAAAGATTAAATTGTTAAAATTTTAAAAAAACTAGAAGGATACTCGCACAATGCAACGAGATGCATCTCGATTTTAATGTTTCGTTTTATTTATTTCTTTATCTCAATTGATGTTATAACAGGTTTTATGTGATTTTGAGAAAACGATAATATTTTTATTTTTGAATAAAATATAAATATGAAGATATCATAAAAAATTAAAAAAAATATTGGTATTAGTATCAAACTAACTATTTAAAATTTCTTCTTTTTATGCATTTATTTAATTCATTTTTTTATTTTTGGTTTAATAATAAATTTTTTATAAAGATAATAATTAAATATTTTGTTAGAAGTCAATGACGATCTTAATTATATTTTAGATTTTGTATGTTTAAAATGAAATGTTTATCTTTTATTTGATTATGTTTATCCGTGGTTAGTTACACGAATTCAAACATGAAGCTTTAATAAGTTGTACTTACGCACAACTTACTTGTAATCTTGAATTTTAAATAATATACATCAATAAACAGTACGTTATGCATAAAAAATTGTTTTTAAAAGTTTTAGCCAAATGTTTTATAATATAGTATAAATAGGTGAAATAATTTGAACAACTTAAATGTTAATCACTTATAAAATTTAAAGCTTTGTTAAAAAAAATTGGCAAGTCAAGTCAACCTAAATCATTTGACCCGTTTCAAAATTCACTCGTTGCGACTTAAAAACCATTCCAATTCATTGGACCTTTCGATACAATCAAATAGAAAGCCCCAAGGACACGAACCCAAACTATGTGAATAAAAAAAGTTCTTATATTATCTTGAAAATTCGGGTTATTATTTGAGCAATAACCATCTAACATATTAATTATTTATAAAATTCAAAAATTAACAGATAAATACAATTTAATCCAGTTCAATCCAATTCATCTCATCAGGTTTCAACTCAAATTCATTTTAATATGTTATATTAGTCGTTATATTTGAGTCTGCTTAGGATTATTAGAATTTTCTGACTGTTATTTTCAAGACCTTATAAAATTAGTTAAGATACGTATAAGTCGGTTGAAGTATATATTATTATAATAATAATAATAATAATAATAATAATAATAATAATAATAATTTTGGCAAAACCTTTAAAATGTGGTTATTTTATGGCAAATGGTTGTGTAAAACGATTATTTTTATAAATTTCCCTAATAATAATAAAAGGGTTTGTGTTGTCAATTATACCCAAAAGGGAAAAAGTAGGAAGGTGGGCATTTTCGTAATTTGGAATATATAATAAAAAGGAAAAAAAAAGGTTTGTGTTGCCAATTATATCCCAAAGGGTGCGTTTGGTGCGCAGACAGGACTGGACAGGACAGGACAGGACAGGACAGGACGGGACAAGACAGGACAGGACAGCTGTTCAGCGTTTGGTAAGACAGGACAGGACAGGACAGGATAGAACTGGTTAAAATGACCAATTTACCCCCAGTGAGCTGTTTAGTGTTTTTTCACTACGAAATGCATTCTGGTATTAATTCAACAACAACATTCAGCAATCATAATCAATGTAAACTCTCGAAATAAATCATAATACTTCATTAAAATCCCTAATAAGTACTTCAATTAATCAAGTTGTTGGCAAAATTGAGTACGAAACCACCATCAAAATATAATTCCTTACTTGCATGAAATAAGAAGAAAGATATTTGAAGAGTTCCTTCAAATTCGTGATGTAGTTGCTGTAAGAAGCAGCGGCGGCGGCCATCGGAGAAGCAGCGGCGGCGGCCATCGGGAGAAGCAGCGGCGGCGGCCATCGGAGAAGCAGCAGCGACGGCCATCGGAAGTCGCCGTCACCGGACGCCGGTTGGGCGGTGGAAGCGATGGAGGAGAGGAGAGTGAAGGGGAAGAAGGAAGGTATGCGTATGAGGTTTTTGAGGGTARAGTGGTAAAAAGTTTCTTGTTCTACTTAGTTCCATGGGTAAAGGGTGGACAACCTTGTCCCACCCTTGTTCTAGTTTGTTCTAGTTAGTCCCACATAAAACCACATCAAACATAGGACAATTGTGTTCTGTCCTGTCCTGTCTCACCCTGTCCAACGTACCAAACGCACCCAAAAGGTGAAAAAGTAGGAAGGTGGGCATATTCGTAATTTTGGGAATTGGAAGGGGCAAATTATGAAAGAGAATATCGGAGGACTTGAAAGTTGAAATGGAATGAGTTGACCGTCGCCTTCATTAAGTCAAAGTCTTCGTCCGTGTAGAACATTTCACAGAGACTTTTTTTTTTTAATTTTTTATTATAATATATTTAAATTTTGAGAAATAAGCGGATAATTGTTGTTAAAACAGAACTGATTATTTAAAATAAATATAAATTAAAAAGGCATTTGGGATTGCTTATAAAAACAACTTATTGACTTATTTCGATGTGGCATCGGTAATAAACATTTTAGAGTATTTGGATAAACAGCTTATACCGATGTCAAACTAGTAATAAAGAATTTTTAAAGAAGTTAAAGCATTCTAACTTATAATAAGTTAATAAAAAAATTTGTAGAAAAGCATAAATTGTTTCAATTAAGCAATCCCAAACATTCCCTAAATGGTTATCATATTGTTAAACAATAATGAAAGCTTACTATATTTTATTTTATTGGTGGACTTGTTCTTACGGAATTTTTAGGTGGTTTTTGATTCATATATTGGAATTAGTCAACAGAATTGGAAGAATTTAATTAGGTTAATTTGATCGTGTATTTAGTTGGCAGGAATTGAAATAGAATCTGTCAAAAGAATTTGAATATATTTCGTTGGCTCGTTGAATACAACAGTGGTGTTGGGATGGAGGTGACAGCGGTGTCAATGGTAGGTGGGTGACGGTGGGGTGAAGGCAACAATGGTAATGGTAGCGTTGGCAGGTGACGGTGGTAGGAGATGTTTACTTTTTTTTTTTCTATTAAGCACTATATGTGTTAAATTGTCTTTCTGGGTTAATTTGTTTATTTGATAGACAATAAAAGGAGGCAAAGAGAGAAGGTCGGATTATTCCAAGGACAGTTGGTATTAATTTGTTTGAGGTGCTTAACGAGGACAAGTGAGGAGTTCTGACTTATTCCATGTAAGTCATTTTGACTTAATGGCATCACGGTTAAGCCTTAAGAAATCCTCCTATATGGCTAGTTGAATAAGTCGTCAAGATCATTAAGCTCATTAAATTATAAGAACATTTCCAACAGTTATCCTAAAATAGAAAAAACATGGATTTTAGTAACTTTTTTCTTCAACAGCTATGTTATCTTGTATGCTAAGATAAAGAAAAAATGAGAGACATTGTACAAATATCTAAATTTAGAGAAATCTCTAAATAAAAAGGAAAATTATTTATTTTAATATTTTTCATCAATGAAAAATATATAGTAAAATATTTAGAAGAAAGAAATAATATTTTATTAAATGTATTGAATATTTTAATAATATAGTTAATACTGGAATTGTTAAAATAGAGTAGTTGTTAGAGTTAAATGTAACTTTTTAGATATTTTGATTTTTAATACTTTATTTTAGAAGAAAATATAGCATAGTAGTTGGAGATGCGCAAAGCAAACAACTCTTTAAGAGCATCTTCAAGAGCTATATTGTATTTTCTCTAAAATAAAGCATTAAAAGTCAAAATCTCTAAAACTCCAACAGCTACTTTATTTTAGCAGTTTCGACATTAACCATATCATTAAAGTATTCAATACATTTAATAAAACATTATTTATCCCTCCTAAGCATTTATCTCAATGCCTCTTATTCATATAATGTATTAAGATAATAATTTATCGTTCTGTTTAGAAATTTCTCTAAATTTAGAGATTTTTACGGTCTCTCCTCTTTTTTCTATTTGAGCATACAAGATAACATAGTTGTTGGAGCAAAAAATTACCAAAATCCCTCTTTTTTTTTTTTTTTTTAGCATAGCTATTGAAGATGCTCTAAATGTTCTCAACATATTTAATAGCTTGAAAAAAGTTTTTTTATACATATAACACCTTCATTTTTACCCTGAAGACGTTATGTTTTCTTCCGTATAATAATCATCATATTTATCCTAAATATCATCGTTAGAAACTCCCAAACTAAAACGCAACTCACTCACATCGGAAGCCTTTATAACGAAACCGACATCTTATCACCAATAGTTCGTTACATACTAAACCAAAAAAAACGTTGAATACTGAAATACATTTTGGTTTTGGTCTCTAAAACGCATTAAGCGCACCAGGGGTCAATATACCTCGTGTTCTCATCCACGTAAAAGTTTTAAGTCGAAACAAATCGTGCTCCTTCTTCTTTCGACTCAGCGCTTCAGAATCCCATTATCGGGCTAGGTCACCACAACGACACGTGTAGAAGACAAAAGGAACTGGGCGACCTAGTTGCATGACTTCAGGTCATGGACCCAGATCGCGACTAGGGTTTTCAGCTAAATAGACGAAATTCTCGATCAGATAGTCTCATGCTAAATTTGTTCAATACTCTTTTCTTCCCGGTTATAACAAAACCGAAGGTCTTACTTCTTGTCTCCATTTTTATGGACAAATCTTCATATAAAGTCGTTTTGTAACTTCAGTTTAACGTATAAAAATGCTCTCTCTCTCCCCCTGTAAACGTACACTATCACTAAGATAGTGTAAACACGTTAAATTGCAGTCTTATTTTACGTGCGATAGACATATTTGCGCATTTATGCTTGATATTACCTTTACGGTTTTTGTGGTTTGATTATTGTGAACGGATTGTTAACCCCTGAAAACCGTCTATGCTTACGGCACGGTCGCTCCTAAACGCTCTTTCTTTTCCGTTTGATTACTAACAAAATTCAAGACACTCAACACTTACGATAACCAAGATGATGAGTATACTATACAATATGAAGAAGCTAATGAACAATGAACTCGACAAATCATATAATTACATTGAAATAGTAACGGATATACGTATCCTAAAGAACATATAAAACAAAACGATTGCTTTCAGGGTTTTTAAATACAACGGCATTTCACTTCAATTCGTCCAATTGATCAACGTACCTGCAAGAAATAATAGCAACCCCAAAATCATTCGTGAAGTAGATGTACAACGTGCGGAAGAAATATCTCCGGCATGGACCTCAAACTCATTCCCGGACTCTTCATCTTTCACTTTGATGGTTGATGAGCCTGAAATCACACCAAAACCGACAAGAACGGGGTTAAGCAAAATACGTTTTTGACCATTTGACTCAACCATTTTCCGATAGCCCGCGCATTAAAAGTTGAATGGTCGAATAAACTTAATTTCCCGGTGGGGAAGATTTACGGAAGTCAAAAATTAAAGGCAAGTGTACTTACAATCATGGTCAACCCATCCAATGGCCTTGTTTTCTATATCATATGTAACCAGCCTATCTGCTAGAAGAAGATCTGCATACAGAGAAAAAATGGAAGAAAAAAGAAATTCAAATTTAACCGAACAATGCTGCTCAAAGTTCATAGAGTCCATATCTGACTTTCGGGAGTCAAACGTGTCTTGGTTTTAACTTCAAAAGTGAGAGAAATCTGTGTTCGATGTGGTAGGATGTACTAGTTTCGAGTATTGAACTATAAAAGTATTTGAATGATGAGTTTGAATCTAAAAGGCACTAAAATGCATGCAAAAATCTGGTTCTGCATGGAACGTAGGTTTGACTATCAAAAGTCAACAGTGAAGCGTGATCATGTTAAGCTCCCAATGTCCCACGAGAGGCACGTAGTGATTTAGATGGCATTGAACTGAAACCAAGTAAAACTTATCGACAGGCCTAAAAGGTAAAGGCTACTAGCAACCCAACCTGCGAGAATATGTGGACCCCACCAGATTGATTACTCTCTAAAAGAGCCCATCCATCGCTGGAACTTGTAAAGTTTGACCTTAAACATGATTCCACACAAAGTGTTTGACTATAAGTCATGTGTCTAAAATACCCTTGATCAAAGGGCCAGTGACCTAGTAGTATCCGGTAACCCAACCTTCGTGGAGGTCAGGGGTTCAAACCTCACAAAAAATGAGAAATGTGTGTGAGTTTTGTCGTATATAAGTATTATATCCAAACATGGTTATGTGCACAAGAAAAATTATATTGCCTACCTCCCAATAGAGTCAGCTCTCCTCCAGAACCTGATTGAATATTACTGTTCTGAAAACCGATGCACCATTGGTCATCCTGACGAGAGAAGGTAATGGAAATCGTTATCACAAGTAAAACGAACGATTAGATTACTTCTAACGTTTGATGCATATATATATATATATACCTCCACTTCGAAGAAATATTGATGGGGAGTAACTGTCAATGAAAGTGAATCATCAAAGTGAAACGTGACATTTGGAAAACCTTCATCAATGCTGCATTATGGGAGGATCAGACGACGAAATGAGTCATTTTGGTCAAGTTTCAAGTAAAATAAGGAACTCATGTGGCACTCGAAAGCCAAACATCTGAATCTTTTGACAGATAGTACTACTACAAATCGGGTTTATAGGACGCCAAAAATGTCTAATAGACCGCTTCGTAGGGCTTAAGTTTATAGGATCAAATAATTGTGTGTCCTATGTAAAAACCGTTGCAATAAGTTTATATTTTGGGCGTCTAAACAAGTTTTTCAGAACACTTCTAAAATAAAATATTGTATTAGCTTTTTTACATGACACTTTTGAGAAGTGTCCTATAAACATATTTTTTTAAGATACTTCTTTTTACAAACCATGTTTTCGGATAACGTCATATCAAAAAATTAACAAAACGCTTTATTTCAAAAGTGTCCTATAGACATTTTAAGACGTCCAAAAGCATCTTTAAACTTATTGCAACACTTTTACATAGAACGCACAACTGTTTGGTCCTATAGGCGAAGGATCGTGTGAGAAGGAGAGTTAAGATGAGAAGCATAAGAAGAGATCTGGAATCTTGATCACCTTTAATCTCAAACCCACCCATGAATTGCGCTTGATACGGAGATTGATCCGGTGCATCTCATCCTAATGTGCATCTAAGGGTGAAGATCTCTTCCTACGCTTCTCATCTTAACTCTCCTTCTCATCGGAACCCAACCCTGGTCCTATAAACTTAAAAGTCATATAAAGCAAGTCTATTAAGACACTTTGACATTTTTGGCATCCTACAAACCCTATTTTATGATAGTCTAGTACGTCTTTATAGTGGAAGAAACCATACTTGCCGGAATACTTGTAGCATTTAAAAAGCTTCTCAACTGTTTCTGGCTTCTGGTCGGGTTGTGCGGCCATGATCTAGGTGAAAAGAATAACGTTCGAGAATTATAAAGAAAAATATATGCAAATCTAAGATAAGTAAAGAAACTATGGTAGCAAATGGAGCCTAAAATAGTCCAAATACCTTTTGCATTAGCGGGTTGTAAATCTTAGCGGGAAAATAAGCCAAGGTCGTACCACTGTCAACTATTGCTCCTTCTTTCTTTCCCAAATCAAGTATATTTTTTGGGATATCTAAAGTTTCACCATTCACATCAATTGACTTCATTTCAACATTATAATGCAGACTGCATTGTAGACAAATCACAATCACACCAATTCTTGCACAATAAAATCAAATCAAACCAAACAAACCCAGTATGTCCCACACAGAGGTGGGTTTCGGGGAGTAAGATGTGCGCACACCTTACATATACCCTCGGAGGGGTAGAGAGGTTGTTTCTTTGAGGACCCCCGACTTGCAAAACAAATAAATAAGGGCACGTTTGGTACCCAGATAGGATTGAACCGATGAGAGTGAGGTAGTCAGGTGAAAGAATTGTGCAAGGTTTTAGGGTTTTAATTTGGCATGGATAGTTCAGTAATTTACCAATCTTGTTCCACCTATCTTGATGGGACAAAGAAATGCAGCGTACCAACTCTTGTTCAATGTAAAACAGAATTCATTGGAAAGAAAGAAAATTTACTTGTCTTCTAGCATTGGTGTTGTTTTCACTTTTGGCTCCACCACTTCTCCAATAGCAAAAATGCCACCTCCTTTGGAACCACTCAAGCAATGTGAGAACATTCTTTTCACCTTTTTAGCCGAAGCAAACTGTGAAAGCAACGAAGTACCCGTTTGCCCAAGCCCAAGAATACCGTCAAGAGCTTGTTCTGACGAACCTAACTCCCCCGATTGTTTAGCTCCACACCTGTCTTGGATCATAATATGAGCATTATATCTAAACCCAAAGACTTCATTCTTACATCATACAACCACTACAACAAAATGGGTATGTTAGGATGCCTAGTCATTCTTGGTCGTCCTAATAGAGTATTTAACGGGACTTATGAGTTTCAAGTCCAACAACAATGTGTCATATACAATAAGTTGTTAAGACGATGATCATTTGCAGGCTTGGGCAGGGCCTAACCTATTTGTCTTGTCCAACGGACCTAATATAGCAAATTTAAGCCCTTTTTACCGGCTTGAAAACTTGCCTTTACCCGCCCTACAAATGGTTCAGGCTTGCCCACGAGCTAATGGGCCTAAAAATCTTTTTACATTTTTAAGAGAACAAAACTTATATAAAACCACAAGTCATGTAAAATAATTCAAAATACATAACAATTTTTCCAACTTAAAAATAGACGCAAATACGTAATAATGTACATAATTTATAAAAAAAATATCCGCAAAATATGGAGCATCAATAAAAGAAATGACCAAACGAGATAACAAGGAGTTGAGCAATTGATGTCATTATGTTTTTAGATTCCGAAAGAGTGTTTATATCACGAGTCATAATTAAGTGGAAGCGGTAAGTATCTAGAATTTTCAATTTTATTTTGTAAATTTTAATTGCAAAAGTTGATCAATTATAAAAATATTAACAGCCAGGCGGGCCTGTCCAAAAATTCTTCGGACGCCCATGCCCGTTCATTAATTTTAACAAGTTAGTTCAGGCCCGCTAGTTTCTTCAAAAGTGGTAGTCCAAGCCCGCTTTTCTAGCGGTCAGGAGATGGCGGGTCTAGTGGGCTGTCTCGCCCATGAACAGCCCATTTTGTTGTAGTGCTCTCAGAATTTTACGCTTTCCGATACTAAAAGACAACTTAAAAACTCACCCAAATGTTATATTCCCACTCATATATTTAGTCTCACCGTCTCCGGATGCTTTGAGAAGTTGCAGATTGTCGTTAATGAAATATCCAGCAGTTCCGCTCCCATCACCATACGTAACAGTATATAAACAAGACATTCCGACCTTACACTCGGTATTAGAAGAATCCATTGTGGTTCTGCAAAAGTCATCATCACAGGTAACTTTTTTGGCACTTGAGGAGTCGTTTGGATCATATAGTTGCAATGGAACCTGTAGGTAGAATGTTTAACAATTGTTGCTTTCTAAGTAGAACGAAAACTTCAAGTAAACATATGAACCACGATAATGGATACATACTCCAAGGTCACTTGTCTTTGGGCACGACTCACATTCGATACAATTCACCCATAAAAGATCACTCCCTGTATCGACTTGCACGTGATAATCCTTCGGAGGAGACCCGATTTGAATCTTGGTGAAATAGAGACTGCATAAGAAAATAGAAGACTAAACAATATGAATTGGATCATATACTCGGAACAACAAATCTGGCCATGTGGGCGTTCCAAGAAGTTCCAATCTTCTTGGAGGCCCTGTTATACCTATACCAAGACTATAGATCAACGGGACGCCAAATCGGCTAAAGGAGTAAAAGACTAAAGCATTATAATCGGGTTAAAGGTTAAAACCCATATATAATTGGGTAACCATATCTCGCATTGGAACACCAACGGGCACGGCCCCATGTGGCTGGGAGATATAACTATCATGATGTAACTACATTCGTTTATATCTTTGCCATTAAGGTGGTGTTTGTTTTTTCATTAAGTCCAATATGGATTAAGTTGTCTGTATGGATTTATATAAATTTGTTTGTTTGTTTTTTGTACTGAAATAAGTCAAAAGTTTGAAATGATGCACCCTTTTGTGCAATGCAACCATCTCAATAAACGAACAACAAGATCATATGTTTTGTGTCATCAATTATACATGCAAATAAGCATTTGAATTCAGAGCTTGTTTTGGTGATCCATCTCCGAGTTAAGTTCACAATGACCACAAAGGGGTTTTCCATTCTTTTGACATGATTATTGGAGCAACGCAGAACCATGAAAAGGAAGCACCAAATTGAGGTCTACGTAAATAGGCTCTGATACCATTACGAAATAAATAAATAAATAAACGATTAAGCCAATTGCTACATGAAGCTATGCACACACACACACACATATATATATATATAGAGAGAGAGTTAACAATGAGAATTTAGGAAGTATTCCAAAAGCAAACAATTATTTAGCTTAATCCAAACAGACGGTAAAATGGTAAGGTAAGAATTCAGCATGACAAACAAACAACAATTTAGCCTCCTAATCTATACAGCTTAATCCATACCAAGGTTCTAAAAGGCGTGCGGCGTATCATGGCGGTGAGGTCAAGCCTCAAGCCTTAGAAGCCTAGGTGAGGCCATAACGTTTTTCAAGACGTGACTTATCAAGGCAAATATGTATATCATACATAAAATTATATATACATACACATATATATTCTACTATTACTCGATTAGTCAATGATATTGAACAATTTAAATAATGTTTATGCACTGAAAACTAAAAAGTAAGACACTAAAAAGGTAATAAAGAACAAAAAATCAAAGTATGCCTTACAAAAACTGCACATCAGGCCATGGCGTACCATAGGCTTAACGGTGGTAAACTTTGCTCTCAAAATCATAACGTCTAATCAACAGCATTATCAAAATTACCCATGATTGATCTGAATAGAGAATTTATCTTCCACACATAATATAACTAATCTAACATCTGGGTGATCAAGCAATAAACAATATCCATACAAAATGCATTATGGCAATCCATAAACCACATTTATGAATACAACTTTCAGAGGAAAATATATCTATTGACATATACATGCATAGAGGGAGGTTCAGGGGAAAACTGAGGAACACCATGGTAACCATTCATTTGGACGGTATGCACATGTGCATACAAGTAATTGAAGTTGTTTTTTGATTTTCATGCATGTGTGCATGTTATGCTTATGTGAATGCAAATGTGCATACCGTCTTTCATTTTCATTACTCGTATAGAAATTCTCATATGCACATGTGCTTACAAATTAATCGTATGCACGCACATGTGCATACCGTATGCATGCACATGTGCTTACAAATTAATCGTATGCATGCACATGTGCATACCGTATGCATGCACATGTGCATTGTGCATACGAGAGACAAATTGCTTGTAAGTTACAAATTACTCCGGATGAATGATTATTGGAGTGTTGCTCAGTTTTTCATTTTTTTGCGGTTTTCCCCGAACCTGACCCTACATACATACACACATACATGCATGCATATATATATATATACATATATATATATATATAGAGAGAGAGAGAGAGAGAGAGAGAGCTAACGCGGCTGAGGTGGGGCTGCCGTCGCCACCAAGAGGGAGTTCAGCGACGGCCAGCATTCTCTTATGGCGGTGGCAATCATGAGAATGGACTGCACTCAAAGGCCTTTTACGGTCATGAAACTTATGCTGAACATGTAACACCATATTCGCTGATGCCAAAACACCCAATTGAAGAACAACAACAACAAACCCAATTACACAAACAATTCCTCTTCTATTCACATCCATATCTCAAAATTCGAATCAAATCTATCTAATCTTCAAATAGGTATCTTAAAATCGAAATAAATTAAGAAAACCCTGTCCTTTGTGCGTGTTTATTTACGAATTTGTATGTTCTACAACATTATTGAAAGCAAATTAGAATGAAGACCAGAAACGCACCTGAATTTGACGAAATTTGAAACCAGATATAAGGATGGAACGAAAATAGGGGGAGAGCGGCATTAACGGCAAACAGACGATTGTTTTGGTTTTCCGAATGTTTGAGCTTTGCTGGCATGGTGGTGATCAATACCCCCTTTGACTTTGACCTTTTGAAGTATTAAAATGTCTCATATCAACCCTATACTTCTGAACTATGACATATTTAGTCCTTTTAGTTTTTTTTATTAACTTGGATATTCAACCCGCTATTCGAGCCGACTAATCCCAGAACGACCACCTTCTTTGCAGATAGACCGGAGTCATTGCATTTGAACCTCCGTGGCCACAAGCGGATTTTTATTCCTCGGATTTGAACATGAGACTAGGGGTGAACGCGGGTTGGGTTGGGCGGTTTACAACAATTTTACAACCCAACCCAATTATGGCGGTTTGGAAAATCTCAACCCAACCCAACCCATTCAAAAGTATAACCCAACCCAACCCTTGCGGGTTGAGACGGGTTGGGTTGGGTTGGCGGGTTAGTAGTTACATAATTTGACGAATGAAATAATTCATAAAACTTATGTTTATAGACCATACTATAAAGCGTCCTATCTAAAAACGTAACAATAGGTTTATAGGACGTTTTTGGACGTTTCAACAAGTGTTTTAGAATGATCTTTAAATAAAACGTCGTATTAGTTATTTTGTGGAAACATTTTGAGAAGTGTCCCGTAAACTCATCTATTTATAGGACACCTATGCTCATATGACACTTTTTCAAGTCGTGTTGTRTAAAATAACTAATACGACACTTTATTTTAAAAGCATCATAGAATTTGTTAAGACGTCCAAAACCATCCTATAAACATATTGAAACTCTTTTAGATAAGACATTTTTCTAATGTAACTCTTTAAAAGCGTCATAGATTGATGGATTCGTTCATCAAATATCTATCAATATCATTCATATTTTCCAACATATCAATTTGTTGTTTTCTACAAAACAAATCAATAATTTTCCTTATTAATTAGATTTTTTGTCATCATTATTTGATCGTGAATTTTCTTTTGGTAACCTATACGTTTAGTTAAAATGGAACAAAATATAATATCAATAAAAATTATATAAAATTATACATTATTAATATATATATATATACATAATAAATATATATATATACATAATAAATATATATATATATATATATATATAATTTTATAAAAATTATATATTAGCGGCGGGTTGACGGGTTGGGCGGGTTGAGCTAGGCTCAACCCAATTTCAACCCTCCTAATTGGCGGGTTAGCGGTTTGGCGGGTGGACGGTTTAGCGGGTAGACGGGTTGGATTTAATTGGGTTGTTAGCGAGTTGGGTTGGGCGAGTTTCGCGGGTTGACGGTTTTTTGTTCACCCCTACATGAGACCTCCATGTACTTTTGACTTTGGACCAAGCTCAAACCAATCAGGCACCACCCTTGTGGTTAGTTCCTTTTAGTTTTTTAACATTATGTTTTCTTTTGCACTTTTTTTCCCAATCGTCAACTTAACAAATTAAAAACTTCCATTAAAACCTCGTTTTTTTGCTAAATTTTAATATCAATATATACATCAAAAATAACATTTGACACAATAATCAATACAAGAAACAAAGTTCGTGTACATGAACTCAAAAAATATTGGTGGCCCGTAAGAACTCTTCGTTATGGTAGTAATTTTATAAGAACTCCACTTTTTTGTTTGTAAGAACTTTTCATTGTGGATGCTTTAAATACATATTGTATAATTTATACAGCAAAACTCATACACACTTCTCACTTTTAATAAGGTTTAAACTTTTGGACTAAAACTGTAACGCCTCATTCCACACATTGCATGTAACATATACTTCATATACAAGAAATACATGTTTGTACACCACAAAGGTCCCTTAGTACAAGAATCTACCAGTACAAAAATACATGGTCCAAAAATTCCAAAATACAATCTTGTACTAAACCAGTTTCATCTGCCAAAACTATACAAATCATCAGCCAATTTTCATGCAGATAATCATATAGGGAATTTACTATATTTTTCTCTTTCCCTTACCATCAGCACTTCCTGTAATACATATTTAAAATCACAAAACGAGGGTTAGACCGAAAGGTCTAATGAGTTACCCTATTTATGTCATTGTAGGGTGAAAATCACCAAAACTTTTAAATAAAACAATTTTTCATATATATTACAAATATATGAACAAGTAAGAGCATAAAGTCAATACCTTTCACTTTTCAAGCCATTAATCTCTGCTCGTAAACAATATATCAAGACAAGTTTACATTAATCAATATCAGAACGCCACTTTTAAACCTCTTGAATCAAATAAGGTTTAATCAAAGTTTCAGGCCAAACCTGTTATCTCCTCTTCTATAACATCCAGACTATGATTTCCATTAAGAACCTTGATTCTAAATCTTTAAATCACAAAGAAATAAAGATTTCAAACCACAATAATCTTAAGAGATATAATAGTAAGAGTTATATTACGAAATACACACACACAAATGCCACCCTTATATCCAAATGTACACCTCTCCTTGATATGACACCCTTATCCCATGGTACACCTCTCCTTGATATAACACCCTTATCTCATGGTACACCTCTCCTTAATATGTTACTATTATCTCATGGTACACCTCTCATTGATATGTCACCCTTATTTCCTCATCAAAATATTTCATAAAACAATTCCATATATAATACACCGCAGTCAATGGAATTATTATTAGTTCCAATTCAATTTTGTCAAAATTCTCATTTATTGTTTCAAAAGAATCATATTTTGTCAAGATAACACTTAATCCGGTCAACCTTGTCCGGATAACAAATCCGGACAACACTTCCACAAATTGTCCGATTTATCATTTGACTCAAAACACAACCTTGTCTGGATAACAAATCCGGACAACACTTCCACAAATTGTCCGATTTAACTAAACCGGTCACCACTTAGTCGTATTCTTACTTCTCCGTTCAAAATATTTAACATAAACTCAAAATTCATAAATCGCTCAATGCTTGTCCAGTTTAAGACTAAACCGCTTAACACTTATCCGGTTTAAGTCTAAACTGGACAACATCCACCAGATGGTTCATTTATAATTCGTTCATGCCTTATCCGGTTTAGGGCTTAAATCGGCCAACACTTGTCCGATTTAGGGCTTAAATCGCCCAACCCTTGTCCGATTTAGGGTTTAAATCGCCCAACCCTTGTCCGGTTTAGGACTAATCCGGACAACACTCGACCGGTTTAGATGAAATCCGGTCAACACTTATCCGATTTAAGGTGGTAATCCGGATGATATATGAAACATAACAAACCAGTTCAAAACAATTATAATTGTTATACCAAAATTGATACTTCAAAGCATAAAACACTCACCTTATGCAAATCCTTAGAAAATCAGATGAGTTCAACTTCTTGAAATCAGGTAATGTGAAATCCGGTCAACCTCTCTTTAAAATCACTCAATTCTTCAAAAATGGCCAACAAAAGATACGAGGGTTTCTCCTTCTTATTTATACTTACCAAACAAGGTAATGCAGCTAAAGTGCCCTTACCATACATACATGCATACCTCATAACCATTGCACATAGATCATATATATATATATATATATATATATATATATATATTACACCTCGTCACACCACACACATACACATATATATATATATATATATATAAATTCTTGTATATATATATATATATATACATATATATATATATACATTTCACATTTATGCATAAAATTCGCATACCCACATGATCAAATGTACAAATTTATCATGCTGTCACATAAACACATAATAAATAATCACGTATAAGTTACCTCAGGTGATAACCAAGATCCAGTTATCACAAAACAACGTCAAGATCTACCACTGACACGAATACCACTGAACCGATAACTCTTTGGTACTTGTTCTCTTGACGGGTAATTGTTTTCTTTCCCTTATGGTGATTATTTTCGAGTTTGTTTAAAAAAAACCTCGTTTTTATCTTGTAATATTACGTTTTGCTACTTCAAAGGGTTCACATTAGTAGAGTTTAGCATCTGATGATGAGTTACTAGCTACTGGGGAGTTAGCAAATGCGTGGAAAAGATAACATTCATTAACGAGTTTCAGTTAGAAATTGCAGCAATTAAATCTGAATCATAAAATAGATATAGGATTAAACCATGTATATACTATTTATATTATAATCACTTTCAAAGGTACTATGGCAGTTCAATATTTTTCCGATACTACATCAATTCGTTATGTATGGATGATGAGATTTCATTGATATAGATCTTCCAAAGAACAAGGCCCGAGAGGATGATTAGTCACACTGGGACTGAAACACGGCCCATACTCCTATAGGAGGCAGCAATGGGGAATTTTCTAATAAAAGGCCCATAGCCGAAAGTGAAAGTGTCATGAGTTGCATATATATTTTGAAATTATTAGTTGATCATCATTAATAGCCTTATGGAGCTAATCTATGTTCATTTTGAAGAAGATTATAAAGGAAATTACCCAAAATACCCATTTTATACATTAATAAAATGATAACTTTTCAAAACTTTTTCACAAAATGACCATCAAAATCGTATAAGGAGGGCGATTTTGATTATAAGGTACGGATGGGTCCTACATGTATACCATTTGGGGGACAAAAATAAGATATTATATCTGAAAATGGGCAAATCGCCCTTAAAAAGTGAAAATCGCCCCATGGAGGCAATTTTGACCTCCATTTCGTCTTCTAGTGAAGACAGCTTATGACGTAACGATTTGACACATCAACGACGATTTGACGAGACATCAAGGGCGATTTTCATTGGTATTTTGTTTTTTTTATGATCCAATGTAATATATATAAATTTTGTAGTATTCTCTATAAAATTGTAGTGATCCAAACATTTCTACTCTTACAAGCCCCATTGATGATTTTCACTTTTTGAGGGCAATTTACCCATTTTCATATATAATATCTTATTTTTGTTCTCCAAATGGTATACATGTGGAACCAATCCATACCTTATGGTCAAATTCGCCCCAAAATAGGAGGGCGATTTTGGTGGTCATTTTGTGAAAAATCTCTGAAATGTGGTCATTTTGTTAGCGTACCATTTATAAAATGGTCATTTTGGGTAATTTCCTTTACTATAATTTGGAATCTATGTACATAAACCGACATATTATATTAATATATTCAACACAAACAAGTTCTTTATTTTCAGTATCAATTATATTTATTAAAATATTCTATAATTTTATCATCTTAATACATCTTTTAAAACAACTTTATATAATAATTCAATCTCATCGGTGAAAAACAATAAAATAAATAATTTCTCTCTTCTCAAGTTAAATTTTAAAGAATTTTCTGAACTCGGAGTTTCCTCTATTTTAAAAAACAATATAAAGTATCTGTCATAACAAAACAGATAACAAAATCTCCATTTTTAAAGAATCTGTAGAAGATGGTGTTATATATATATAGGGGTTGGTTCAAATGTTAACAAAGATTATCGTGTTAACTTTGTTAACCGATCTTGACCGTTAATTTGAATAATAAACGGTTGTGATTTAATGATATTTAAAAATTAATTATTATATTAATATTTTCAATTAACATATGTGAACAAAATATCAAAGGGTATTTAGGTAAAAAGTAATCTATCTTTGATACACGAGTTGTCAGACATATGAACAACTTGTGTGTATCTTCAAACCACATCAAACAAAAAAGATTAGACATATGAACAACATGTGAATTGTATGAACATCTTCTGTATATTTAGGAGCCAACTCTGCTGTATGTATATGAACACCTATGAACCAAGGCATCTAGGGCTGTGTGTTTTCATACGTGTTCACATGTTTTCACATGTTCTGTGTGTGTATGTATTCATATGAACATCTAATGACTTGAATATTCATGAACACTTATGAATCACGACATCTAAGGCTGTGTGATTTCTGATGTGTTCATATGTCAAAGGTGAGAACTGTAGATTAAAATAAATGTGAATTATAGAACATGAACACGTGTGAAACTCCAATGTCAGTATTGGATCATGATCAATTGTGATATTTTCAAATTTGTAACTCCCAATTAATTATTTGGGAGTTACATAAAATAACAAATTACTTAAATACCCTTGTATTTTATATATGAGTTACATTTGAACCAAAGGAAAAGATGGAATATGATTGGTTGAGCTTGGTTAACATAGTTAACACAAAAAAATTGGTTAGTATTTGAACCAAGCTATATATATATATATATATATATATATATATATATATATATATATATATATTTTTTTTTTTTTTTTTTATTAACCTAGACATCCAACCCGCTATGCGAGCTGACTAATCCCAGGGCGACCATCTGCTATGCAGATAGCCGGAGTCACCGCATTTGAATCTCCATGGCCACAAGGGGATTTTATTCCTCCTCGGATTTAAACCTGGGACCTCCTGGTACTTTTGACCTTTGGAGCCAAGCTCAAACCAATCAGGCACCACCTTGTGGTTGATGGTGTTATATTTTTACTGAAAAGGGATAGAGACTAAAGTGGAATAATTAACAAGTAGAGAAAAGCAATTTGATTTCAGAAACAAAGATTATACACAAAGCAGGAGGAGGTGTATGTATGTATAGTAAGAGATGGTAGATCAACTGCATCTAACCTCATCTATTGCATCAACTAAATTGTTAAACTTAGCCCCTGTCACTTCTTTTACAATCTTAGAGTCCTTGAGAATCTTGAAGGTTGGAACCACCTTTAATCCTAGCTCCTTTGCCAATACCTGCCATTTGCCACCTAATTAATACCGTATCAACGCATCTCTACAACTCTTTAAGTTGCGAGTATAAACGGTTGCTGGGTTGGGTTCCAGAGAGAATTGTCCCTTTTCGTGACAACAAGTGAATCTGCCCTTATATTGTGTGAACATTTGTCGTGAGAACTGGGAAGGTTACCCTTGTATTGTCTAAAGATTTTTCGTGAGAACTGTTAAGGTACCCTTACGTTGTGTGAAGCTTTTTGTGAAAAATGAAAAGACACCCTTATATTGTGTGAAGATTTGTCGTGAGAACTGTGAAGGTATCCTTATTAACGTAACCTTCACAACACACAATTAAGGTGAAGTGAAGGTTACAATCGTCACACAATATAATATAACCTTCACTTGTGCTCACATTCTCATATGACCGTAACTAAGGGATGGTGGTGTTAGCGAAACTTGCTTTTAGGGAATTCAAATCAGTTAATCACAAACCTTGTTGTCTTGATTGCAATCAAGCTTTAGAAAGACCACATCAAGATACTTCTCAGACAATTCTTGGAATTTTGGAGCGATGACCTTGCATGGACCACACCTATAGAGTTCAATAAATAATCAAAACCATGGGACGAGGGGGAAGATGCAAATGAAGAAAGGAAGATAGCTTAGAAGTATTGTTATCATGGTTGTATTTCGTGCATGGTTAGTCTTAGATTTTGCAATTGACGTATTTTCCAAAGAAATTGTTTCTGTGACTCAAACCTGTTATCTTTTGGCTGCAAACATACGATTTCCCTCTAGCAACAAAAATAACCATATGGAACAGAACCACGACAAGTTTTTCTTTTATGGTAATCGTGGGTATCCGGACCAACTTCTGCGCACTTCGACTAACTCCATGGGTCCCTGAATATAGCAGCCAGGAAAATCCCAGTGGCCTAGACTTGAACTGGCGACCTATGGGGAGGAGCCCCAAGGCTTAGCCTTCATATTGACACTTGAGTTAGCCTTCAAAGTTCACTCCAAGTATGTGAAACCAACTAGGAGGGTTACTCACTGTCAGGGATTACAGAATGCAAAAGAAAAACTACATACAAGGACTTCCCTTACCAAATTCACAAAGCTGGCAATGCTTTCGCTCACCAGGTTGCTGCTTTGTCAAACTAAACCAAACCAAACCAACACAGTTTATCTCGCTCAAAGATAGGTCTGGGAGTGGGATACCCCAAAGGTTGTTGCTTTGTCGTTTTCTTTTAACCATAGGCAAATGTTAAATCGGCTACCGGTATCACTGGGGACTTTCAAACTCATGGATGAAGTGGGCATGCTCAAACAAGGTTTTATCTTTGGTACCCGGCTATGGAACCGGAACCGGAACCGCCTTGGAACTGCCGGTTCCGGAACCGGAACCGATATGAGTGGTTCCAGTTCCGGTTCCTAAAATACGGAACCGATTGAGAATGGTTCCGGTTCCGGTTCTCAATTTTTCGGAACCGTTACCCGCCGGGTACCCAGTATTTTTCAAGTAAAAAAATAATTATTATTTTTTAATACCAAATTTATATTAGGTTTACATCTTGAAAGCATGTCGTCATTTTCATTCTTCATCTAAATTCTCCATATAAAATGATCCGTATTTTTTTAAATTGTGTATTCACTTGGATTCATAGTATGTAATCGTTAAACTTTGAACATTTACCATTATAATATGTAATCGTTAAACTTTGAATATTTTCTATTAGTCTATTATAGTTTGTAATTGTTAAACAATATTTGTAACAATTATTTTGTATAATTTGTATTCTTGCTTATTTATTTAGTGTTTTGGCAATGTTTTATTTTTTATTTCTAAACAATAAAATTTTAATATTTTAGGAAGCGGGTACCCGGAACCGGAACCGGTTCCCGGCGGTTCCGGTTCCGGTTCCGGTTCCAAAAATTTAAGAACCGCTCTAACCGGTTCCGGTTCCGGTTCCAATATCTCAAGAACCGCCGGTTCCGGTTCCGGTTCCTGTCAAAAAGGGCGGATACCCGCCTATGCTCACCCCTACGTTCTATCACATAAGTAATAGATATAGATCTTTATATATATTAATGTTTATGTCCTTTGTCAATGTAAAAATACATTTTGTTTCAGATTGGCAATGCTAAATTTCCTTATCAATCCTTATAAAGAACACCCTTTATATAAAAATCTGAACATCTTCCAAGTGTTGATCTAGTGTCCTCTAGGAAGATTGGAACAAAGACATTTTAGAAACATTTAGAATTACTCGCATGCAAATACCATAGAGCATTGATGTATGGAAATGTGGTTTCCAAATATGTAAAAAATACTTTCATATATTGGTATATGCAAGGGTTTGGTCCGTGAGTTGGCTAGGGTTGTAAGCAAGTCAAGCCAAGCTCCACAGTGTTAGGCTATGAAACTCAATTTGATGGCTCAAAGAATTTCATTAAGGCATGCTCTCGAGCTCAACTCTGAGGAAGATTTGAGCTTCAATAATTTGCCATTAGAAATATACAGAATAAATTAAGCTTGACATAGTATACACACTTGATTTACTGTCATATTAATCAACTACATAAGTAAACATAGACTGGACTTGAAAAGCTGGATAAGAGTTCACATGAGAGTTCTTACGAACTCGAATTTAACTCATTATACTAGTATTTGTACTCAAAGTTAATGAAGTTCAGCTCAATAAAGCTCCATTTAGCTCAAATAGCACATCAAGCTCGAATAATTTGACAAATGTTCGGTTCGATTACTGTCTAAGTTAACTAGATGTACTCAATCACGTTGTTGCAAGGTCTATTTTGACCCCTTAAAACAAGGGCACAAAGAAGCAGTGCTCATGTTTCATCTTGAAGTTCGGTATGAAAATAGCAATGTTCCCTTTAGATGTGACTCTTATAAAATTACTGGAACACTAAATACGTTTAAAATCCTTAGAGACATTCCGTGGATCAAAATCAGTTTCACCACTGATTGGTAACAATGAGAACGAGACCTAAAGTTTTGCAAGTTTCCTGGACAGAAATTGTTTCAATTTTATATTGCAAGGTCAGGGATTCAGATGATCGAATATATATACATACAGAAATTCTACAACGTTAACTTCAAGTTTAGGAAACATAGAGTACGAGTTTGAGCTAATTTACTTACCACTGGGTGTACATATCGAGAACGACAGTCTTATCACCAGCGGCATTAACGAGAGGCCAAAACGTGTCCTTGCAAACCTCGGTGACCTGTCCAACAACCACCGTCGGACCGGCGGTTTCCAGGCTCGATCTCACCTTGACGGAAGAACTCAGGCCTTTCCTGTTTCCATTCTTCTTATTAACCATCATCATAGTTGAAAACCGATGAATGTCTCCGCCTACAACAGACTGTTTGGTAAAACATGACGGCAGTGAGCCAATCGACGACGATGACGATGACGACGGCGACGGAACCGGCCGGCAGAGTTGATGAATTTGCAACGCCATTGTAGAAATCTATATATACAGAGTCTGTATCTACTACTGTGTTGGTGTGTGTGTGTGTGGGTGAGGAGAGGCGCAAGTATTTGAAAGCTTTGGAAGGAAAACATGATCGTGCATTTGAGATGTAAAATTACGAAATTGTCCTGGACATGGACGGGTTTGATGCGAATATCTTGGGGTAGTATTGTCCATGAATTTTGGGGTAAGAAATTTCCTGTGGCTAAGAAATTTGAACTTTTTTTCTAAAATAAGAAAAAGGAAACTTTTACGACAAAAACATCGTTTTTTTATTCAATTCAATTATTTTATTATTATTTTTAAAATAAATATTGTTTAATAATTTAGCAAATAAGCTTTTAGGGATCGTTTACTAAACGCTTACCCGGTAAGTACTTACAGGCTAATTTTCCTTACCGGATGAACATGACAAGGGCCAAGAATCTTACGCGGTAAGAACGATGATAAGAATGAAAAGTCTTACCCGGTAAGTGAGGGTGACGACTCTAACTCGGGTAAGCACTTACTAGGTAAATTGTTGCATGAGATACGTTTTGATCTACTAGAATTTTATCCTGTAAAATAAATTATAGTGTTGACCGATAACGGTAAACACTTATTGGGTAAGCATTTAGGTAAACAACCCCTTAATGTCACGTCCCGTTAAGAGGTTTTCCAGCAACACGGAACATTCTAGATCAATCAAGAAGATAAAGGAACCTTGAAGTAAAATCAAGCAAGGATCAAGAGGAAACAAACATTACTAGATGGATACATACACCTCTGGTTCTTAGCTATACTACCTTATAAATCAGATTTGTCAAAATTCTTAAAAACAATTTTTAATGCACAACATACTATACGTTTATGCACAAAGTCTTAAAAACAACTCATAATGCACCAAGTACTACTACTTTATGCATTCATTTTTAAAATCTTTTAATCTACAATTAAAATAGCATATAGTACTAGTTACAAATGCACATATTATTACTTTTTCTTTTCATTTCCCAAGATACTTTTGACATCTTTCACTCATGTTTTCACCTACTCATAATGTCTTCTTCTCATCCCCCAATGTGAGATTCAAATTGATATTCACCATTGGTTATTAAAAATTATTCCATTCAATTGCTCTAGAACTCTCAGTCTCGGTCTCGATCTCTTGACTCTTTGCTCTTGGTGTAAATCGAACAAATTTGTGGAGTCGTTTAAATATGTTGGATTTTAAATATATTGGATTTTAAACTGTCATACAATTTTTTTCATCGATAGACTGTAATTAAAACCATAACTCTTATTTATTCAAATTGTATTAATATGTAAAGACCAAAAGTAACTTATATCATCGTTAAATCTCCTCTAATAAAACCAGTGAAACTTCAAAATCGTTAAAATTCACGGCTCCCGCCGCATTGCTCGACTCACAACTAGTATAACTAAAACCTTCCTTGTAAATATCTAGATAATATTCTCAGATAGTTACATAGAGTAGTATAAATAGAGATAGATTATCGTTTGTAAATCACACTCCACAATCCACAACTTGAGTAATAGAAACATAGTGTTCTCATAATCTGCTTAGAGTTTATGATGAGGAGTTCAACTGATAAGAGGTCAAATCAATTGCGTCTAGCTCTTCGATCAGGTGTACGGTTTTATTAATTGTTAATAGTTTGAATCGTGTTTCTATCATGCACAAGGTGTGAGGAGTACGAAAATTCAAGGTAAATTCGTGAAGTTTACGGGAACTGGTGTGTACTTGGAGGATAAAGCCATTTCGTCACTCGTCGGTAAGTGGAAGGGCAAAACTGCTACTGAGTTGAGGGATTCCGTCTAGTTCTACAGGGACATCGTTACTGGTAGTTAAGCCTCAACTAGTTTTGTGCCAACGATGTTCATTTCTTTTTTCATATTATATGGGTGAAAGATGAAAAGACGGTGTTGAAAGGCGGAGAAGGGGTGGAGTTGTGGCTGAGAAAAGTCGTCACTGCCAGGTTCAACCTTGATGACATGAAAACGACGAAGATTGTATTTGATTGCATAAGGTGGAATAACATATAGACGATATTTGTGTTTGATTTCATGAGGTGAAATAAGATGTAGACGGAAATTGTGTTTGATTTCATGGGATGAAATAGATTAGAAATTAAAATTGCGTTTGATTTCATTTGGTGAAATAACATATATATGAATATTATTTTTGGATTTCATGAGGTGAAATGGCATATTTATGAAATATGTTTTATTTCATGATGTGAAATAACATGATGAATGTGTTTCATTTGGTGAATCTTTGTTACCAGAATGATGATTATGTTTTTTTTTCTAATTAAAAACAACTTCCAATAAAAACCATAGGATCAAAATCAAATAGTGGCTTAGATTACTAATGTTCTCAATTTTTTTGTGCTTCTTATTTGATTAATTTATATATATATATATATATATATATATATGTGTGTGTGTGTGTGTGTGTGTGTGTGGAGGTTCAAACGAGAACACCTCCATTTTACGAGAACGCGAGAACACCCTTATCACATGTGATAATACGCGTGAGAGAATCTTGTGATGTGCGGACGACGTGTTCTACGACTTAGCCTACACAAAAGGTTGTCTGCTTCTATGATTTAGCACCACATGTGATGGTCTTGATGGATTATAGTATCATATTAACAACACCTTTATCACATGTGATAATACATGTGAGGAAGCTTAGTGGTGTAAGGGTGACTTGGCCCGCAACCACGATCGCATCGAAAATCGTCTGCTTCTCTGATTTAGTATCACATATGTATCATATGTGATAAAATAATAGTATCGATAGAATAATGGTATCACATGTGACTGACTATAGTAAAATGGTGTTCTCGCATTCTCGTAAAATAAATGTGTTCTCGTTTAAACTCTTCCATATATATATATATATATATATATATATATAGAGAGAGAGAGAGAGAGAGAGAGCGCTAAGATCATTTGTTAACCATGAAAAAATGTATTAACTATACAAACTATTTAAACAAATGACAAGCTTTTGTTAGATTAAGTTCTCTTATCCCCACACAATTAATATCGAGGACATCAATGATAATTTTCTTTTTTGTCTTAACTTCACATTCATTAATGGGCGATTACAAAAATATCAATCCCATGATTATAGTTAAAATAATATGTTTATTATTTTTCCAAATTATAGATGACTTGTTATTTTAATATGATAAGAAACTTAAATATTCTAGTGGTGGAGGAGTATTTGATAGATAAATATTCATAATATTGATATACAAACGTGGGTGAAGACGGTAGATCACAATACAAGAAGACTGAAGATCTTATGATTAAGAAGTATTGTGTTCACACGTGAAAGTCAATAAACTAAGTAGTCGTCAATGTTCAGATGGTGTGTATATTGTTCACATGTGTTTCAATGTGTTCATAAAACAGTATATATATATATATAACATATGTGTTTACAAGCGAAACACTTTGATCATATATTATTGTGTTCACATGTGAAAATCAATTACTTTAGTGTTCATAAGTTTTAATGGGTGCAAATAAATGTTCACAAACTAAGATTAGTTAATAAGTTACATATATGTTTATATGTATTCATAAGTGTTCATAATGCAACATAGATAATTCTACGAACTATAAAAGTAATGAGCAATTAACGATTTTGTAAACAATGTAATTAATTAATTATCGATTTGTAACCGATTTGGACATCTCGCCCAAAAATACCCCTGTTAACCTATGTATTGGCATCTTCATTTTTAATCAACTACAAACATGTCACAATTAATCTCATCCATAGATTTTAAGAATCAATGGTCAAGATTGGTTCACAAAGTTAACACCAATTATTGGGTTAACAAAAGAACTTTCCCCTATATATATATATATATATATAGCCAAAGGTTATTTTGAAAAGTGATCTTAGCCCTTCATACAGTCAAGATCGGATTTGACTGGTCAACAATTACGACTTTGACTGGCCAATAATTATGGCTTTGACTGGTCAAAAATTGCGGCTTATGCGAAAAATAGATAGGGTAGTTTTGTAACTTTTACAAATAGGCGGCAAACGGGTTCACATACGAACTATATGTTCATATATTAACTCGTGTAATTCACATATAAACTATTTTAACTGATTCACATATAAGCTAGTTAACTGATTCACATATAACTAATTAAATGATTCATATATGAACCTGTAGGTTCATATATAAATCAGTTAAATAGTTCACATGTAAACTAATTAATGGGTTTACATATAAACATATAATTTATATGTGTATCACATGGGTTCACGTATGAACTCATTTGACGCATATTTGTAAAAGTTACAAAACTACCCCGTATCTTTCATATACACATGCAAGGTTTTATCCGGTGCTTCACGGCCAAAGTCGCAAATGTTGACTAGATGAAAGGCTAGAATCACTTATTTAATTTTCAATATTTACCACTTCTCAAATGAACATTTCCATATATATATATAGAGAGAGAGAGAGAGAGAGAGAGACTTGGGATCATGTGAAACCAATGGTTTTTCGTGAGACCCGTAAGACCAATTCTCAACCCTTGGATTAGATTTACAATCGTCAGATCTGAACATTCATAAACGCCTCGAGACTTCTCAATAATTACAAAATTGCCACCTTGCAACTTTAGACCGTTAGATCATAAGTTTATAATATTGATCAATGAACATAAATTGGTCTTACAGGTCTCACGAAAAACTCTTGGTCTCACGTGAACTCAACCCTATATATATATATATATATATATATATATATATATATATATATATATATATATGGTTTTATTTGATGCTTCACGGTCAAAGTTGCAAATGTTGACTAGATGAAAGACTAGGATCACTTATTTAATTCTCAATATTTACCACTTCTCAAATAAACATTTCCTTATGTATGTGTGTGCGTGTGTGTGTGGATTCAGGTGAGAAGGGTAAGAAGAAATCTTCACTATTTGATCAATCATAATTAAAGGTGTACGCAGGTTGGGTTGGACGGTTTTTGATATTTTTACAACTCAACCCAACCCTTCGTATGTTCATTTGTGTAATAAAACATAAATTTATATGAAGAAAGAAAACAACTTTTAAACATTTGTAGTTCCAACTTCTAAGAGCATCTATGCAAAAGAGAATCATACACTAACGCGATCATTGACATCATATAATTGCATGTATGATCACTATATTTATCTTTTTTCAAAAGAAACCAAATAAATATCTCAACTCCTACAAGATCCTTAAAATTGTTGATCATATATTTCATATAGGTAAAAAAGAATTAAATCAATAACAAGACATGGTCCATATCATAGAAGGTTTTATTCAAAGGTGTCCAGCAATGTTCGACGGCGTCCAACAACACTCAATCTAGTCGTTTCAATGTACTCGTGTTAAGGGGTGTGTGTGTGTGTGTGTGGATAGATATAATTTTATCGAGATAATATACATTAGCGACGGGTCGGCGGTTTGCGTTGGGTTGAGTTAGGCTAACCCAATTTCAATCCTCCTAATTAGTGGGTTGACGGTTTGGCGGGTTTGATTTAATTGGGTTGTTATAGGGTTGAACTGGGCGGGTTTCACGAGTTGATGGTTTCTTGTACACCCCTAATCATAATTGAAGATCAACATTAATGAGATGCACAGATCAATTCCTTTCTAAAGCGCAATTCATGGGTGACATGAGATTAAATGTGATCAAAGGGTAAAGATCTCTTCTTACACTTCTCACCTAAACTTTTTTTCTCACACGACCCTTCGTATATATAGAGTTGGGTTTCAGTGAAAAAGAGAGTTAAGGTGAAAACCATAAGAAGGGTTCTCCACTCTTGAATGCATATTAGGATGAGATGCATCAGGATGAACTAGACCAATCCCCGAATCAAGGACGATTCATGGGTGGGTTTCAGATTAAAGGTGATAAGGGGTTCCAAATCTCTTCTTATGTTTCTCATCTTAACTCTCATTCTCATATGATCTTTTGCATATATATATATATACACACACACACACACATATACAAGGTTGGGTTCCGATGAGAATAAGCGTTATGATGAGAATACTTCTAAATTGTTGAATACAACTATTTTTTGATCTAACAGCAAAATGATGGTGGACCTTCTACTACCTTCAATTGATTGCTAACCAAAAACACGGACCTTCAATTAACTTCATCTACCTTTATTTTCACTTACACTCACCTTCACGAATTTTTACATACCTACCATCTCTTTCACATGTATGAATTTGTTAAAGTTTCAGTAATGGGCAGGGGAAATAGAAATAGGTCAATGAAGGTTATGATTTTGTTCTCACCAGATCTTTTATTCTCACATGATCCCAAGTCTCTCTCTATATATATACATGTACGTATACGTATATATGCCAAAACCCCGTTTACAGAAGCATCTAAACACGTTCCACAACAATTCGACCAAGCAAAGGGAAAAAGGGATGCATAGCACCAACGATGTCTCAGCAAAAAAAGAAAAACACATAACCAAATAAATCCATTATATCTCACTCGAAAGTGAGATCTGGAGAATGGAATGCATGCATATCGGATCTCTACCTCTACCCTAAAGAATAGACCGAGCTTATGCAAAAGTGTGAGCAAAAAGGAAAGAAAGAACCGAGACTACCAAAAAGTAAGCAACAGAGAAAGAAGAAAGAAAATGGCACATTGGTATCAAACTAGAATACTTAAGCTTGTCTTTTATTACACAATAATGCATAAATTCACGATATAAGGTACAATAAACTCTACGGCTTGAAACACCAAGACGACATACAAATATGGTACCTGCAACGCAATCCGATGGAAGTATTCTACTCTTCCTTGTACCTCTTTTCGACTTCCTCCATACTCTGAATCTCCTTGTAGTACTTGCAAACACGATAGATACACCTGCATCACATCAAATGCATATGGCCGATTGATGCCCGTGTAGAAAATAGAGGTCATTGTAGACTATGGGCAGTCGTTGCATAAAGTTAGGCACTTTTTGAGCTTTATGACATGGATTTTGCGATACAAATTTTGTACAAACCTCAAAAAAGTTGAGAACCAATCTCGCCGTATTGTTTCATATGTATTTGTTTCTTCTAAGGCTAGAATTTAAGGTATTGTTTCACATGTATTTGTCTCATAATGTGAAACTTATGTACATGTATCTCACATGTGAAACAATACATGTTTCATTACTTCCCAACATTTTTGAGGCTCTCATTTGGTTATATATATATTTCATGTATCATGAAAGCCATGCAATAACCATGTACCAGTAGAGAAGACATGCTGCACAACACAGAATTACATTCCTCTGAGCCTTGTATATCTGCAAGAACAATCGCATTATCAATCCAATTTGCAACAAGTAACAGCAAGGTTCAGTTTGCACAGTAATTTGAATATAAATGTTAAAATACAGTTTGATTTAGCCCATTTTTAGCAACCATAAGCTAGCCTATTTTTTGAGCTTATTGAAAAGACCCTTTTTAGTTAGCCATAAGCTAGTTTTCCTGAAAGTTACTTCAAGTAACGCTTTTCCAGTTATGCCTCTTGATCAACATGATGGTTTTGTATAACATGGCAAGCCTTTTATCGCAATTCAGTTAAGACAGGCCAAAAATAACGGAAAAGAAATTATAAAGCACTGAGACCTGATAAAAAAAATTAAGAGGTGAATCCCCATTCCATGCACTCCTATCTAAGGTCAACTTGTTAATCACTCAAATTTCTCTTCCCTACTTCCCCCATGCCAATCTTTGCCAACCCCTAGCTCACCTATTTTTACATCCTCCTGGTACAAGTTGGCTCTTATCTAGCTTCTCATTTTTTAACATATCTGTTTTTCTCGCTTTCACACACTTTTCACTAGCTGGCGTAGTCACAGAATCAGCCACTCTATTATTTAGGGTAGAGGCCACGTATGCCTACATCTTAAACCACCCCTGACCCCACCTCCGGATGGGGCATACCCGGCTCGTTTGGTTTGGTTTGGTAAAAGTTGGCTCTCTAACTGGTGCATTCAAAGATTGATAATTGAGACAGACACACACCATCTCATGTTGTGTTGCTCCTCAATTGCGGCACAAACCTTCTCTCACACAATTCATTTGTAATCATATCCCTCAACACATGCACATATCCATCCACCATGGTACTAGCATTTCTACAACACTCATATTTGTGCATGCTGTATTTGATAGCTTGACATCCTATTCTATATATCATAGCAAGTCTAACACATTCAACCAACAGATATTACGATTCAGCTTCAATGGAACGTTCCAGGATGACATCTAAACTTGTCGCAATCTCATCCAACCCAGTCTTATCCTATCACTACTTTCCATATCAATCTCCGCATTATATTGATATACCCAAGTACTAGAAGATATCATTACTACCTACGTCTTGTCTAGACATGCTTATCACATATCCTAGATATCAACATCACTATACTATGTAATATAGTCCACTGTTAACTTTATAGTACCGTTCTTATTTGATTAGCAAACTATAGGTGTTGGATTAAGATAATCAATAAATTTTATATTAAATTTGGCTAAATAGATTTCTATTAATAAGATTTTGATTGGACATTATAAACCGACTAAAATTAGTGTTGATATTACAACAGCAAACGACTGACACGTGCACAACCCTGTCACATCTTAAAAGACAAAATCTCAACCTGCATCTTAGCTGAAACTCAACTGAAACTGCACAAAAGCACCAAACGTAAACAAGAAAAATTAAGCAAACCAGCTAATAACGCTAAACAATACCTGAAAGATCCAACGATACAGCCAAAAACTCAAGCATGTGGAGAAACCACAAGTAAACCTCCCACAATGAAGATTAATACAAGTACCAAGAAATTCAAAGTTGTTTGATAAGCAAAAGCCATTGTTCAATAGTTGATTGATCAATCAATGGTCGATTTACTTAATGTGTGGCACCTAAAGTGGCACGCCAATGGCTACCTCTCATGTTTACTCAAGACTAGCCAGTATGGTATGACTTACTTGAAGCTACTCATTTATTTTGGTTGAACTACGGTAAATATCATTCATTGGGAACAATCCACAACTGCAATCCAATCCAGCATCTATTAAACTGTTCCTAATATCACATTGTGAACTAGATGTACAACACTAAATGAAGAACCAAAATTAGTAAAAGCCATGATAATTCAAAGAAGATTTTTCCAACTAGTGTCTAAAGAAAGAGTTAGATAAATAAGAGGAAACCTCGAAATACATACACTAAAGTCTAAACTGAATCATTAAGATGAGAATATTCAAAAAAAACATTGCAGTGTCTAAAATTTACATATCATGTATAAATTCTTACTTTCATGCACACAACTTTGTAACATCCCGATTCAGTTTAGCTACTGAAACGAACCGAATCCCACCCCACCACATTTTCACTCATCTCATGTTCCACATTACCTACCCTGCCATATACTACTTTGTATTGTTTTCGTCTTGATGCTGGTCTAACAAGCCTGCTGAAGAGGCGCCACATTGTTGAAACCAAACATAGCAATTAGATTTGAGCAGGAGGCCTGTTATAACGGTAACTATGACTATATTGCTATGTTATTAATTGCATCATTATAGCGGTGGTACAGTGGTTCGCAGTCCTCGGAATAATAGCAGTGTGAAATTGTGGTGCCGCAAATAGCGCCGCATTTTGACCGCAATTTTCATTTGCGATAGCGGTGCTAAATCCGCAATTTTCCTTGTGCTTGATTTTTTACTTTAGTTGGGCTCTTCAGTGTTCGGCTCAATTAGTCGTGCTCTTTTTTTTGCCAAGAGTCGAGCTCTTTTAGGTTTAGGTTAAGATTTTTGAAGTTCACGACTTTTGAACTGTGAAGTTGCTCAACAATGTTTTGGAATGATGTCAATTTTGAAGCTGAAATTTAGTTGGTTTGACTTTATAAGTCATTTAAGACTTCGCTTATTTCTTTTTTACTTGTTAGGAGTATGTATTTGGCTGCCAAAACATAGATATTAATATGCAATTTCAATAACTACTAGATGGACTTCAACTGCCAAAATATACATACATATATAATTGTAATTATGATATGAATTGCTAGTTTCGGACAGCTATACCATCGCTATAACTGCTAAGTCGTGCCCGCAATTTCAAATTTTGAGCGCTGTAACAACATAGCTATAGTGCAACTGAAAACTCACGAAAGTTGCAACTTGCAAATAAACAAGTGCAGATTGAAAATTTGAAATGACATTATGGAGGCAATTTTTTTCTTTACAATGTACGCCATAAATTCATGTTGTAATTGTTTCTTAGATAAGATTGCTCCTAAGCACTCTATTCTGCCACTGAGATACATTCTTTGAACTAGATGGAAAAAATAAAATGTAGAGCAATGCTAATGATGCTCAAGCAAGCTAAAAGAACCAGAGATCCTACCAATGATATTTCTTGAACAGAGTTGTAAGATTTACATTAGGATCTTCTTAAACAGTATTTTTTTTCGCCAATGGTGTAGTTAGTACAAGTGAGGTGATTGCTGCATATAGCTTTAAACAAGGTGATGATGCTTATGATGACAAACAATGAGTACCTTGCAACTTGCAAGATGGGAACTAAATGATTCTTGGATCTTGAGAGTTGAGACTAATGGCATGTTCCACCAAAAAACAAAATTTAGTTTTAAAGATAATCTAAATAAGAAGAGGCTCAAAGTGCAAAAACGGAAGTCCAGGAGTTGATAATCTTCATCATTGACAACTAAATTCGGAAGGAACCAAAGGGAATGGAATAGGATATGTAGAATGGACCATCATAAAGCAATGGATTTTTCGCAGCTTTGAACTCTCATAAGGGATCCCAACTCAAGGGACTCTTTGTGGATAAGGAAACCATAAACAATGATAACCTCCAGGATTATCCTTTAACTTTTTACAACATCCCTTAACCAAACAGAAACAAAATGTGGATGTATAGTAGAATATTGACATTGTTAATGGCTGAAGTAGTCACAGATAGATGAAGGTTCTCTAAAAATTCAACCATCTGGAGAGACTACCAAATTTCACCATAAGTCCTCTCTAACCTCAAAGAAGGATCCATCTCAAAGCAAACGCTTGAAATGGGTAACTAATTCTCAACTAATAGATTCTAGGGTTGAAAAAACATTTACCGATCTCTCGTATCGATCTCTCTCAGCAGTAGTACAGGTCTCTCCAGAACACATCAACCTGTGCTCGTTCTTCCAGTAGATATCTGGAACAACAAAAACAGGAAATCATAAAACACAAAAACTAGAGGCAATCACAAAATCAAGAATCACGACCTAATTTAAGGGCTAAAGAAGAGAACACCTAGAAGCTGAAAACCAGCAAAGGGGACGATGAACATGGAGGGTTGTAAAATGAGAGAAATTAAAGAGACGAGACTAGACTTCAAGGCCTTGGGGGAAGGCATAGTGAGCAACAAGGCTATGGCTGCCTCAGCGGCAACAACATACGTCAGAATCATCCATTGCAACGCCATTGTTATCCAGTGATAGGAGATCGGTTGATTAGGTTTTTGCAGACTCTTTACTTGTCGACCAAGGTGGACGAAGATACTAAGGCACGCGAAAGTTGAAACAAACAGCAAAATCAATAATATTAATTTTTATTTTCTTTCAAATATTTTAATTTGATTTTATAAATTTTATTATATTCATCCATATTATATCGTAAACCATTTGATAAAAATTCTTAAAACTCATTTTTTATACATAAAGTATTATTTATTGATGCATATTACTTAAAATTCAATATTACAAGTAAATTATGTGTATGTATAACTTATTAAAGCTCCATATTTAAATTCATATAATTAACTGTAGATAAACATAATCAAATACGAGATAGGTATCTTATTTTAAATATAAAATATATTTAGGATAATTATTGAATTGTAACAAAATTTAGTTATTATCTTTATAAAATAATAATATTATTAAACCAAAAATCAATGACTTCATTATTAAATTTAAATTAAACTATAATAAGAATTGAATTTAAAAAAATTAAAAAAAACAAAAACTTTTAAATATTTAATTTGATACTAAAATCGACACATTTGTTTTTAAAAAATTTTGATACCTTAAAATTTATATTGTATTCAAAATATAAAAACATTATTGTTTTTTCAGTATCACATAAAATCGTATTATAACATCGACGGAGACAAAATAAAACGAAAACATTAAAATTGAGATGTATCTCGTTGCATTGCTCGAGTACCCTTCTACTACTGTATAAAACATTTGAAATAAAAATTTAAAACACCATTTTTATACAAATACTCTTTTTGATATATGTTACTTAAAATTAAAGATTACAAATTAATAGTGTACGATGAATACAACTTTTTAAAAGTTGTAGATTTTAATTCATATAACTAACTAATAAACATAATCAAATATTTAATAGATATTTCATTCTAAATTAGATATACAACTTCCTAAACTTTCATGTTTGAAGTCATATAACTAAAGGGCTGTTTGTTTTTAATAAAAAAGCTCTTAATGTCCTCTTAAGTCTGAATCGGTCAGACATAAGAGGATTCAGTGTGTTTGTTTTTTTTTCTTCAATTAAGAGCTTAAAAGCTCTTATTAGGTCTGAAAATTTAAGTGGTTGCGAAACCTCTTATTACCTCTTATTTCAAATCGTCGCCTACCTACTCTGATCTCTTTGCACTCGATTTCTCTAGATCAACTCTTCTGTCTCGATCTCTCATCTCTCAACTTTGTCAACTGTCGATCCATATCAACTCTCGATCTCTCATCTTCAAACTTCATATTTCAGACGTAAAAAATAAACAGTCTGACTGATTCAGATTTCAAACTTCAGCACAACCTCTTAAAAATCAGAAGTGAATTCAGACTTCAGACTTCAGCACCTTTTAAAAAACAAACGCCACCTAACTGATAAATAAAATCAATACACGGTAAATATCTCATTGGCAATGGGTAGGATATGGATCAGATAATGGGTTATTTTATCTGTACCGTACCTATTAAAATGTTGGATAATGGGTAAATGGATAATTTTTCTGCTCATACTTATTCAATAAGTCGAATCCTTGTCGAGTATAAGCCTTTGAGAAACTCGTTAAAAATGAAAGCTGCAGATGATGTGATGTGCACCCTTCTTGAAAATTACACGAATAAGTTACGTTTTTCTTTCCTATGGTCTTTTGAAAATTTCTATTTTCATTTTTATTGTTTTGAAATTACGATTTTCATCCCAATTGTTTATAATTTATTATTGTTTTTGTTTTTTTGATTTAAACTTTATTACTTTTTTAGTCTCTGTAATTTACAATTCAATTTAGTTGCTCATACTTTAAGAGCAGTAATTAGGGGTTGTTTGTTTACCTCTTAATAGTTCCATTAAGAGACAACCTCTGAACCGTTAACAGGTGAATCTTGGTTGGCAAAAAAAAAGTGTGCCTCTTAATAGTTCTAAAACCATCTGAATGATTTTGTATCATGGATCTCCCTTAACTATTAAGAGCCTTAATTTCATTGTACACAATTACCAAACAATTTTATTTCATTTTGCACTATATCATAAGAGTCTCTTAATCATTCTGGCCACTTAATCATCATGTATCAAATCATTCGGTAATTGTCAATACAGTCTAGTTTCATAAATGAAAATTAAAATGAGTTGTAAATCATAAAGAAAGAAAGACCACGGTTTAAAAAAAATACGAAATCCATAATTTCTAACAAAATTTAATTAAATTATATTATAGAAATTTAAGAGTCCCATGTGGTGTGCATGACGTGGGCATTAATTTTATCATGTTAAAATAAGTTGGTGATGCAACAAGAAATGCATTTACGGTGAAAGCTGGACCGATTAAACACCAATCTAGAAGTTTGTTTTTTAGGGTGTTTGGGATTGCTTATAAAAACAATTTATTGATTTATTTTATTATGACATCGGTAATAAACACTTTTAAGTATTTAGATAAACAATTTATATCGATATCAAACCGGTAATAAAAAGTTTTTGAAGAAGTTAAACTCTTCTGACTTATAATAGGTTGACAAGTGCTTTAGTAGAAAAACACAAGTTGTTTCAAATACGCAATCCCAAACACCCATTTATTCGGTAGAGATGCACACTCTGGCTAGGCCCACAGAGAGACCTGGATCGGGATCGGGACCAGATTAAGTCCGACGGTTTAGGAACGGTTACAATTTTCCTTAAAAATGATGCATTACCTAGGATGTATCACAGGATCAGTTATGGATGCGGGACTGATTTTTTTTTTTGAATTTTCTAGCTGTTGAGGAGGTCTTGTGACCATATTTCAGCCATTTTCGAGTACGGCAAAAGATCGTGTGAGAAAGAAAGTTAATGTGAGAAGCGTAAGAAGATATATGAACTCTTGATCACTTGAAATTTCATGTCCACCCATGAATTGCGTATTAGAAGGAAATTAATCTGATACATCTTGATACATAGCATTAGTGTTGACAATCAATTAAGATTTATCCAAGGATGAAGATATCTTCTTACGCTTCTCACCATAACTACACTTCTCACTGGAACCTAATCCTTTCGATTACAGTCTACACTATATAAGTGATATAACCAAAGGCGAATGATCATGTGAGAAAGGAAGTTAAAGTGAGAGATCTGAACCCTTGATCACTTTTAATCTAATGCTCATCCATGAATGACGCTTTAGAACGAAATATGCACCTCTTGACATTCAATTCGGATTGATCTGAGGGTAAAGATCTCTTATTACAAAAGAAAGATTACATATCCCAACAAATGGCATTTGACCATACTCCAATAACGCTTGATAACGCGCAAGTATGAAGAATTTGAACATTCGTATATACCGAAACGAAGAAGATCCCTATCCCCAATCCACAAATGGAAGAGGCGGATAACCGTTTTCTGGTGGAGGTCTTAACGATGGAGGTAGATTTTCTAGCATAACACCCATCCTATCTACGACCATGCCCCCTGCAAACGCAACACAAGGATGATTTAGTTAAATAACCTTCTATGAAAGTCAATTTTGCAAACTATGGGATCATTTACAAACACAAACCGGGAAAGTGCTTATCAGGTAAGACTCACAACCCTTAGCTTATCGGGTAAGATTCTTGGTCAATAAAATAGCATAGTATAAACGTCTCTTACCTTGTAAATGCTAACCAGGTAAGAGACACCCCCTCATTTACCGGGTAAGATTCTTGGTTTAGCAAAATGGCACGATAAAATTGTTGGTAAAAAACACCATTTTGACCAGGTAAGCGTCAGTAAAAAGCAATAAGTGTTCAGTACTTCCGTTACCCGGTAAGAGACGGTAAGTGTGTAGTAAAAAGCTCCTAACTTTCTAACGTTTTTTCAAGATTTTACGAGGCAGGATGTTTACAGAGGCATGGCGTGTAACACCAAAGGTGGTCATTTGAAGGTTACAGAGTAAACTAAAAATTAAAAGGTGATTCTAAAATTGAAAACTCATTGTTGTCATCTAACTAAATAACCTCGCAACATACCATCATGATATTTATAACTGCAACCCTGTAACATTTTTAAGGGCTACATGCTCGGTTGGCTAGAGCCATTGAACAGGTTTCATATCTTAAAGATTGCTAAAGTGGCCAGTCCATGTATTAGATTGTTTACAATGTTAAGACATATAATTGAAATGACAATTGTTAAGTTGTCCATACCTAAATACACATGCATACATACACACACACACACATAGATACATGCATATAGAGGACCAAAAACGGTTAAAAACCCGTGAGAACTGATATAAAAATTATTTTTTTACATGATTTTTTTCACCAAAGACTTCAAGGTATTGTTGATTTGTTTCACATATGTTTGTGTTCACATTGTGAAAAGAATACATTTGAAACCTTTTTTTTGGTTCACATAATTTAACAAAAAAATACACTTGAAAAGTTTCACATTGTGAAACAACTACATGTGAAACTAGTACACTATGAAACAAATATATGTGAAAAAATATTTTTAGAACGTTTCTCACGAGTTTATAACCTTTTTATGGTTCTCATCTTATTTACCCCCTGCATATACATAGACATATGTATGTATGCTTGTATGTATGCATGTGTTTGTATGTATGGAAAGGAAGTAGGTAGACCAAAATCTTGCAGTAAAGTTTGCAGATTATCCAAACTAATATTCATAGCAGAACTTGCCTGGTAATGAGGATCTCTCAATGGGTTGGCTCCTCTGGAAACTTGGCATTTGGGTTTCCATGCTGTTTGTAGCTAAACAAGAGATGAGATTCAATATATTAGAGTTAGAAAAGGAAAACCAGTTGTTATGTACCATTCAATTTGTTCAATATGTCACTTGAACAAGAGAGAATGGGAAGTAACCGGTTAATGATGCATCAGATATTGATCAGAACTGGTTGTCAAATGATGATGATGGTGATGATGATGAGTGAGAGAGAAAGGAAATAAAGGAAGTTTTGCAGGTTTAATATAAATCCTTTTGAAAATCTGGAATTTTACCTGCAAACCCCTGCACATTCCTGTTTTGCAGGTTTCGATTAGGATGAAGATATTTACAAGAATCACCATATGGGCATGAACCCTGCAAGCAGCAAGCTGGAATTGATCAGGATACCAGAACAAAATAAATGTAAAGACAACACATGGTTTAAATAGATGTCTGGAAAAAAATTGATGGCGGGCCAAGTCCTTGATGGTAGGGCACCCAACAGCATCCTTATTAACAAGTCAAATAAAACGAGTATCCGGAGCCAAAGAATGGGAGAACTCTGGCTCGTAAACAGATATAAACCAACACGGCAAGTAGTGAATTTGGCTGGTAAATTCATTTTAGTTTTTGGAATATGACATTTGATACTGTGGCTGTATTACTTTAAAATAGTATTAGGCTTTACTTGAGCTCAACATCTGTAATAATGCTCGCATGGTTGTGGTGATTGCAATCTTTCGCATGGTTTAATGTTCATTTAAAGTCCCAATTTCTATTTCTTTAAGATCTTATGAGACCTATTCACTGATCTATTCAAGTCAGTTTGATATTATCGGTATATAAATATACATTTTATAATCTTATCCATTTTAGATGTCAATAACCAAACCTCATATTTAGAGAACACAACCAGAATGGCACTAAAACTCTAACAAAAAGATGCCAACATTTTGGAGATGTCATTTAATTTGTAGAATAGCTTCACTGAAGTAAAAGGTATATGAAGAAAATTAAAAGAAAAGAGAAGAATGCAAAATATCCCTACATTAAAGGTGTATTTTTCACTGTTCTCTCTATGAACAAATAGTTCATGTTATTCATTTCACCCAACTCCACCAAAGTGCATGTCTATTACCATCTTAAAGTCAAATTTGTTCTTCAACACCAATTAGGTGAAGTCATCTCTATTACTTGTGGATATTGGAGAGATCAAATATACAGTAGAAAGGTGGAACAGAAGACCAAGAACAGAACCTAATATAAACTAAATGACCTTTTCTATTCTACTATACCCAACCTAATTCTAGCAAGCATGAAGTGGGAAAATAGAAAAGAAGTAATCATTGAACTTGGCATACCTTAAAAAAGAATTCATCCATTACATGCTTGGATCCTCAAAATCATATCAATAGCGTACTCTCCATCTGATTGAGGTTGGTTTTCACAACCCTGAGGTCCTGTTTGGTTTGCAGGAATGGAAAGAATTTGGGGTGAGTTGGAATTTAAATCCATTCCAATCCCATGTTTGGTTTGCAGGATTGCTCGAATTTGAAATCCCTCAAACATAGGATTTTGAAATCCTATGGGGGTGGTTGGGACTTCAAGGGATTTCGAAGGATTTGTATATAATATTTTTTTAAATATGTTTAAAACGTTTGTTTTCCAATAATAAATTAATAATATTTAATTATTTTTATAATTATTTGTAATTTGTTTTACAAATTATTTATAAAGAATGGAATTCAATTCCATTCCAAATCCTAACAACCAAACACAAAAAACATTCCAAATTCTTCTGAATCCGAATCTCTCCGATTCCAAATCCCTCCACAAAATCCTAGTCCCTCCAAATCATTCCATCAAACCAGAACACTGGGTAAGTGTCCAATAGTTGATGGCTGAAGCTTTAGTTCACAAGCAATGGCCTTTTGTCAATTTAGTGCCTAATAGAACTCCCTCTACAATTAATCCCCCAAACCGGGGAAGCGTAAGCGGAAATGAAAGACGAAGATCAATCTTGACTTCGTTGGTTGATAATGACAATCGGACGGGAAGAATGTTTTCAGAGAGCTTTCTTGAGGTAAGCAAGTGATAGGTCAAAAGTGTTCACTATCCTGCCAGCATAAAGTAATCATATCTCTATTCTGAAAGAGCTGGTCAATCAAACCGTTAATAAGTGTAAACTTGTTATATTTTTCTATCATCAGAACCGAATTTGCGCCTTCTTCTTCTTCCCATGTTCAGACAAAACAACACATAATGACAACCACAGATACAAAAACTAAATCGAATTAATGATCAACTGGTGATGCAAATAGAACCAAACATCTAATCGAAATATCAGGCATCCAAATGGAATCGAACAAAACCAAGCATCCAAGTTAGCCATGCAAATCAAATGATCAGACATAGAGGATCACTGCAGCTAATCTGGGAAATATCTTTTTCAAGATTTATCTTTTGTTGTTCGATGTCAAAGCTACAAAATTGAACAAGTTTTGTTGCAAATTTAAGATCATATTTTATTCTATTTCCTAGTATTTGCTATAATGTTTTATTTGGTTGAAAGATAGCATGTTTGATCAAAAACATTTCTCTATCATCCATGTGCAACAGAGGGAAATACCATGAAACTCTAAATATCGATCATACAGCAATAGCATTAAGTAAACTGCGTTAGCATAAACGGAGTTAGTTTTTTTCCCTTACACAATTATCCCCAAAAACAATTCAACACCGAAATGGAAGTTGATAAAGTCAGTAGCGAACGAAAGAATTACCGTCCGAATGAAGCGGTTGCATACCCCAATAGCGGATGACTCTAGGGATATCTGATTGGGATCTGTAAAAACAGAAAGCATATGATATGATTTAGGTAAAAGAAGACATAGAGCAGGAGATAGAAGAGAGAGAGAGAGAAATGGAACCTCGTGGTATAGATGCATACCAAAGAGCTTTGGCTTTCTGGTGGTGAAGCCCCTGAATATGGCGTTTCCGGTGAAACGGTGTATCCTGAAACTGCTTATCGCAGTAGTCGCAGTAGTATTTTCCCAGCGGCATTCCTGTTTTCCCTTTCCCCTCCTCCCTCCTCCCTCCTCCCTCCTCCCTCTTTAGTGCAATCAACTTTAGTGCAATCAACTTCGTTTGTTCTAAAGTGAAAGTTTGTTGCATTAGCTTAAGTTGTTATTACCGATTTGCCACCGATATAAACCGTTTTATTTTTTATCCAAACACCATAAAATAGCTTATCATCGGTATCAGATTGAAATAAGTTAAAAAACAGCTTTTATAAGTAATCTCAAACACCCCTAATTGAGAGAAAATAAAATTCTTTACTATAAATAGGAATTAAATTGAATTTTGTTGCATTTTTGTAAAAGTGTTTATCAACTTATATGGTGTCAAACTAGAATTATAAAAAAATGTTTGAATTAGCTTATAATGGTATCAAAACGTAATAAATTACTAAGGAGCCATTTACCTAAATGCTTATCCGGTAAGTGCTTAATGTTAGGAGTCCACACTATAATTTATTTTATCGGGTAAGATTGTAGTACATCAAAACGTATAATATACAATAATTTACCTGGTAAACGCTTACACGGATAAGAGTCGTCACTCTCACTTACCGGATAAGACACTTTATCCTTATCATCGCTCTTACCGGGTAAGATTCTTGGACCTTGTCATGTTCATCCGGTGAAGAAATTTACCGGATAAGCGTTTAGTAAACGGCCCCTTAAGTGTTTTTTTTTTTCATTCAAACACTAAAAACTTTTTATCACCGGTATCATACTGAAATAAGTTAATACGTTATAAGAAGGTAACTTATCAAGAACTCCTTATCCCGGTGCTAAACCGATATATGAGTATTTCTTTTTTTTTCCCATCAAAATACTAAAAAACTTTTTATTACCGGTATATTTTTTTTATAAAGAAAATTAAGTATTGGATCATCTTCAACAGTCATGTTAAAATAAGAATTTTGATGGTTTTAGATTTCCCTTTTTGTCGGTATCCTGTAAGATATGCTAAAATAGAAAAAAGAAGAGATAGTTTTTGAAAATCTTGGAGAAATCTAGAAAGAAAATCTAATATATAAGAGATAGAAATAATATTTTAATTTTTTCATTGATAGGAGACATTAAAATTGAATAAAGTATTGTTTATTGATGCATATTACTTAAAATTTAAGATTATAAGTAAATTATACGTAAATACAACTTATTAAAGCTTTATTTTTGAATTTGTTTAACTAGTGATAGATAAACATAATCAAATACGAGATATACATTTTATTTTGAATATAAAAAAATCTAAAATATAATTAGGGTTATCATTAGTTACAACTAAATACGTAATTATTATTTTTATAAAAAAAATATATTATTAAATGATAAWTAAATTRYTTTGTTATTAAATCTAAATAAAATATTAAATTAAAGAAAAATTACATAAAAATCGAGAAATTTAAATAGTAAATTTGACACTAATATCGATATATATGTTTTCTTCAATTTTTTATGAAATCTTTAGATTTATATTTTATTTAAAAATAAAAACATTACCATTTTCTCAAAACCACTAAAAACCGTATTATATCGACATAGATAAATAATAGAACGATACATAATCGAGATATATCTCGCTATATTATGCAAGCACCTTTCTAGTTTTAATAATATAATTAATGTTGCAGTCTCTAAATATAGTAACTATTGGAGTTTGATGTAATTTTTTTTTAGATTTTTACTTTTGATACTTTATTTAAAAAAATATAGCATAGTTGTTGGAGATTTTTTCAATAAATCAACAGTAAAATATAATGAACCAATAAAACGAAAGAAATATATCATTTTTATTAATCTTTATTTATTTTTTTCAAATTCAAATGACAACCGTATGTTTGTTATTGATGTTCCTTTGAATCTGAAAATTAAATAATCAGTAGTTTCTCCTATTACTGTAATTTGGATATGAAAAGTAAATAACGACCAATGGAAATGGTCTATAATCATTTCGTTTTATCTGACCTGGTAAAAAGCATAGCAAGGACAAAAAATCTTACCTAGTAAGTAAGAGAGAAGACTCTTACACGGTAAGTGCTTTCAATTCATTTTGATGACCAAAAATGTTGTCCAATAAAGTAGGTTATGGTGGTGATCTTGTTAGTACGTGTGTTTGGTAAATGAACCCTTAATCACCCAAAACGTGAAAGTGTCTTAGGGGCCATTTACCTAAACACTTACCCGGTAAGCGTTTACCAGGTAAAATTCAACATTATCGTTTACTTACCTGGTAAGATTTGAGTCCGACAGAACGACATTGTATGTAATAACTTACCCGATAAGTGCTAACCGTGGTAAGAATCGTCGTCATCACTTACCGGGTAAGACTCTCGGTCCTTGTCTTCGTTCTTACCGGGTACGATTCTTGGTGTTTGTCGTATTCATCCAATGTGATTTGGTAAGCACTTACCCATATAAACATTTGGTAAACGGCCCCTTAGTTGTTTTAAACTTGTGTTTTATTAGGTGTAATAATAATTTTCTTTTCAATTAGATTTCCCACCTGTTTTACATTATGAATGAATTTGCAATTTATATAACATTGGTTGATTTTCATATGACATGTTCTTTTCCATGTAATGGGGGTGTTTGGGATTTGCTTATTTGAAACAACTTATGTTTTTCTACAAAAGTACTTATCAACTTATTATAAGTCATAATGGTTTAACTTCTTCAAAAACTTCTTATTACCGGTTTGGTACCGGTATAAATTGTTTATCCAAACACTCAAAAGTGTTTATTACCAGTGTCACATTAGAATAAGTAAATAAGTTGTTTTTATAAGCAATCTCAAACACCAAGATTGATGATATAACTTGATAACTATATTACCAATAGTTTTACAATGTACATGTAATTGAAGTTTTTTATAATAAATTTTTCAACCAAGATCGTCCACGTAACTAGACTAGTTAAAATCAGCAAAACCAAACGAATTTAGCATATCCCATTTGAAGCAAGGTTTCGGAGAATGTGAGACGTGGGTACACATGTTCTCTAACCCTGATTAGCGCTTACCGAGTAAAAAACCATTTATCAACAATTCATTTTGATGCTCAATAATGTCACCTGATAAGATAAGTGATGGTGATAACTCTTACTGATAAGCTCTTGGTAAACGTCCCAGTTATATGTTTTATTTGATGTAATCATATATTATGTTTTCCGTGTTTTAAACTTCGATATTCCTTTTGTGATGATGAGATTCTTCGATTGCATTATCAACCTTTAAATGTAAAAGAAGGCACAATACATTGTCTTGAACTTTTTTTATAATCGTGGGTGATAAGTGTTAATTTATTAATCTTATTACATCATTTTCTTAACCATTTTCCTTTGTTTTATTTGCCCATTAGTGTCTTAATTGAGTCTTTTTATGTCTTTTTCATATATTAGTAGTAATATTGTATATCTAATGTTAATTTCTTGTTTATGCAGGTTTTTGACGATTTTGGGGCCCAATCCTACAGCAGTCCTATAGGACCAGGAGTGGCATGGTCCTATAGCACCTGTCCAAGAGCTGAAATTTTGTTTGGGCCGTGAAAAAGTGGGCTGATCCATAGAAGAGGCGTGGTCAACGACCTTGGGCCCGGACAAAGCCCAATTTTGATGAAGCTTTTGTCTTATTAGTTGGCACCCACTTTGTAAACTTCCTTAGCCTATATATAGAAGGCTTAAGGCTTATGTTTGCACACCAATTAACCATTTCACAAACCAATTAACCATTTCACATATTAATTCTCCAATTTACTTGTTTTCTTCCATTTGATACTTATGATATTTGTTAGTCACTTTCTAAATCATTGCTTTCGGTTTCTTTGTTTCCAAATCAAGAATCGATTTTTGTAGTGAAGTTGTAATTACGTTCTCAAGTTTTAATTTAAGTACTCGTATTTAATCTTCATCTCATTTCTGTTTTTATTTCCAAGTTACGTTACGTTTTCTTACTTTTGTTACGAGTTACGGATTAGTCAATCATTGTTGCTTTACATAGAATCTCATCCTTTGTGACTCACGACTAATTCACGTAGACTAAATAAATTGTTTTTACGAGTTTATAAGTAACCTTTTCGGTCTTTGTAACGAAACTTGTTTTGCAAATTTCCTTCAAAAGTCAAACTCGATTTCCAAGATTTTCATTTGTCTTTCCTCCATCCCATCAAGTACTTTCCTTTCATCATTGCTAGATTAAAATTAATTAATATTATTTAGTTATTAATAATTTACATTTCAGTATTTATATTTCAGTATTTATATTTCAGTCTTTATATTTCAGTTTTTATATTTCAGTATTTATATTTCAGTCTTTATATTTAAGTCATTTACATTTCAGTCGTTACATATCAGTCATTTACATTTCAGTTATTTACATTTCAGTCCTTTACATTTCTGTCTTTACTTTACTGCAATTTACATTTATGTCATTTAATTTCCAATACTTTACTTTCAGTCGTTTAATTTTCCAGTACTTTAAATTCCAGTATTTTCATTTCCTGTAATTTATTTTATGTAATTTACTTTTCCGTCTCAATTATTTATTTTTTCAGTCCTTACATCTTTCGAGAGAAGAAACCGAGCGATGATGGGCTAACGCCTTAGCTTGGGGTGTAACGGGAAATTAAGACCAAAGCCGATGTGAAAGTACAAAGGTGTCTTATTAGCATTATAGTCTACTATTTATTTCAGGTGCTTAATATTTCATTTTATGATTACATTAAAATTAATTGACAACTAATTTTGTGTATAAAAATGTATTGACTTTCAAAACCTGAGGTAATAGGAGAAAGCTATAGATACCTTTAGTATCTGACAAATGCTATACTCCTACAGTATAAGATGATAACACTGTGTTGTGCTAGGATACACGACGTCTAACATAAATGATATCGTATCGATAGCACGTTGACCGGTGTGTGCTCTTGGGAGGCCGTSTGACCCGATAGTTGATACTGTYMTAGTTATATAAAATCATTTATTGATTTTAGATAATTATGACAGGAATGCTATGTCMCCTTTTTAC